AATCCCACTACTGCACCCAAGTCTCTCAGACAAGGGCCCTGGCCTCTTGCCTAGACTGGAGTCAGTGTCCCGTGGCTGTTATTTGGACTCCACCTCTGCAGAGATGGCTGTCTCTCCCTTGTCCATTAGCCCAGCTTATCACGCAGATCACATTAGTTTGCTGTGTTCTCTTGCTCTTGACATCCGGACCGCTGGTCCTTCCCCAGAGTCAGCTAATCCTCCAGGATCAGCCAGCACTCCCAGCACATCTCCGCCCAGGTGCTGGCTCCCCTCACCACACCGCAGGCGGGCACCTTGCCAAACTGTGCCCCTGAGGCCCTGCATTTATGACAGTGGGCAGGGGGAGGACAGCAGCTGCCAGGGGCTTAAGGATGCAGCCCGGAGGGGGTAGTTGATGGTGCAAGGCCCCCATGAAGCCCGTGAGAAGGAGCTCTGGTGTGTGGATTTGCCTCATTAGAGAAAGACATGCTTCTTCCCCAGAGATAAATAAAAAAGAGCTAACAATAAAAAAATCCTTCCAATATATCAGGCAGGCTCTCCACTGAGGGCTTTGTTTATATTACTGTATTTAATACTCACAACAGCACTATATGGAGGCCCTGATATTGGCCCCAATTTGCAGATAAGAAAACAGAGCCTGGAGCAATTCAGTCACTGCCCCAGGCCACACAGGTGGTGAGTGACTAGACTGGGGCCATGATCCTGGCCTGGCTCTGGGCTCAGGCCTTCCCTGTGTGCCCTTGGGAAGTGCATGTGACTGAAGGCACAGGAGTCTAAGCGGCAGGAGAAGGTGAAGGCCTCCACGTCGTAAAGGCAAGGAAGTGAGCTCATCTCCAGAGACAGGGCTTGGAGAGCTGAGTCATCCTTGCAGAACTTAATGGGAGTAGAAATGGGTTGGAATGGCCACTGTGGGACAGTCAGGAGAGTTGACAACATGACTAAAAGGACGGCTGGACGGCAGCAGGGGCCCAGCTGGGGCTGTGTAATGTGGATGTGACAGTGGAACCCGTGAACACGGTTTTATGACTTTCTCCTGCAACCTTTTGCTGGCCGGGCATGCAGGACTACAGAAGAGGTGCAGGTGCTTTTTGCCCACTCCTTGGGACTCCACACTAGATTACAAGCCCGGAAGAGCAACATTATGTGCTGATGCACTGAACCATCTGCAGAGAGGGGGATAATGGGATCCCACGGGGCCAGGGATGGGCCAGGTGGGAACGCTGGAGGCTTGCGATGGTGGAGCAAAGAGTTCAGTGCTGGAGGGACTGACCGTGTGGGGCCCTGCATAATCAGAACCGGGCCTGGGAGAACTGAGAGGGGCGGAAAGGCTGGGGTAAAAAAGGAACCATGTGCAAAAATGCATGCACTGATGTTCACACATCACAGCAGCCTGGGAAACAGCCACTTCCCTGCTTACCTAGGGTGAGTAATAATTTGTGTCAGGCAAGAATAAGGAAATACTGACTTTATTGTGTTTACTAGACAAAAAGAAAGAATGGAAGGACAGAAAGAAAGAAAGGGCTGGACAAGCTGGTAAAACACTGGCCCAGGTACAGGCCTGGTTGCTAACGAGGTTGTATTACAACCATACTCTGCTTTCCAAAACAGCACCCTCAGGAGAAAAGAAATAAAGTCATTTTTCTTGGGAGGCAGAAGATTTAACATTGCTTAACAATAACACTTAACATCGCTTAGCCCTTAGCCTCAGGCAACCTCGTAACTACCAAGTGCTGGGAATTGTCTTTTTCCTGCGCTGGCCCTGGCTGATGCTCTGGCTTGGTGTCATTTAGCCTGGCAGTAGGTTGCATGGGTGTACTTTACAGATGACAGAGTTCCATGACAGCATAGTAGGTGCCCCTTGACCAGGGCTTCTCACCTACTCCAGGCATTTTCACTCTGTGTCAATGGCTCGAAAATTTGGCATATAAATGGATGGTATTGAGTTTATCTTTAAAACTCCTGTGACCCTCTTCACAAACAACACAGAAACCAGTTAGTAGCATATTAAGTACCCTGGGAGGTTAGTCACAGACTTCTCATGCATAGAATTATTCCTATTTTTAATTAAAAATTTAACTCCATAAATATTTTAAAGCTTCCTGCCTCTGTGACAAATGGAGGGGGATGTCCGGTGCTTACAGAGATGTGCTCACCTCTCCTTCTGGCAGAGGAGACAACAGAGAAGCTGGTGTGATTCAATTAAATGGACAGTAAGATCTCCAGGGGCAAAGACTAGAAAACCTGGGTAAATGTCATTGGTACTCAGGGCTAAATCTGCATACCTCTCAGAAGTCAGCGGGGGCAGCCAGCCCTGGTCTCTGCCTTCTGCCTCCTGCTGGGTGAATATAGAGCCCTGCTCCCACCCTCGCCCCTGTGGAGAAGGGGGAGTCATGCCTGGGAGGGAGCTTTGCATGTCCTCTTAAGTTTTTTTTTTAATTTTCAAAATATTATGGGGGTACAAATGTTTTGGCTACATAAATTTACATTTGTACAGACTGAGTCCATGTTATAAATGTGCTCATTCCCCAGAGAGTGTGCATGCTCCGTAGATATTGAGGTGGACGCCCCCATTTGGGAACCAGCACCAGGATTGCTTATGCACTTGTCTGAGCTCCATCACAGCTACTTCTGACGACCAGGCAGCTATAAAGGTCTGTCTGCCTGTGCAGCTGATCACTCTTGTCACTGCATATGTGTGTAAGGAGACTTTTTGCCAAAATTATTTTTATTCTAAGATGCTTCCCTTTCGGCTACAGTTACAGTATTGGGGCAGGCAGGGTTTTGCCAATTTGTGCATTGTGATGACGGTTCCCAAGGCACAAACAGTGGTAAGTGTATTACCTTTGTCAGAAAACCCCGTCCGTGGTGTTTAATCCTAAAATAGACTTGTTTAGAGTCAGCCATGATTAAGCATTTCAGGGCTTATTAGTAAAAATAATGAGGAGTTGGAAATGCAGAGGAATTTATGTTAATAATTACAAATAGAAGCAGTTGGTGTGCTACCATAAAAGATTGATTTGCATGCCTCCTTTACTAAGCAGTGGAGTCCTGAGGATGGACTGGGAGAGGGTCTCCAGTTCCCATCATCTCACGGCCTAATAGAAGGTGATCACTAGATGTGCAGAGAATGAATGGAGAAGTAAAATTTATAGAATTTGAAATGCTATTTTGGTGCTTTTGATTTGTACAGAAAAAAAAAAAAAAAGAAAAATCCATTCCTGCACTCTGAATGAAAGTTGGCCAGGAAGACATTAAGCTATTTCCAGTTTTCCTTCCCCCCAACTTATAAGAGCATACTATTTTCCATCTGCCTTCACCACAATTTCCATAGACTTCAACAGTGAAAGCCGGAAATCTTATATTTAAAACAAATTTTGGAAAGTACTTCCATTTTTAAAGTAAAACCCAAATACAGACATCCCTCAGCACCCGTGGGGGATCGGTTCCAGGACCTCTCTCCACTCTGATACCCAAGTCCACAGATACTCAAGGCTTGTATACAAAGTGGTACAATATTTGCATATGACCTATGCATGTCTTCCCACATATAACACTTTATATCCTCTCCAGGTTAGATTACATAATACATTATCAATACTATGGAAATGGTTGTGAAACTGTATTGTTTAGGGAACAATGACCAGGAAAAAGTCTGTACATGTTCAGGAGATGCACAACCATCTACTTAAAAAAAAGGTTTTTTTCTTTTTTCTTTTTCTTTTTTTCTTTGATATATTTTTGATCCACGCTTCGTTGGATGCATGGATGTGGAACTCCATGGATGGGATATGAAGCGCTGACTATACTAGGCCAGGGATAATAAGCACAGAAAAGAAATCACAGATAAGAAAAAAAACTATGAGACAACATATTAAAAATCAGATATAAATAAGATATTGTTATATAAAGCTTTTAAAGTCTTGCATTTTGGGTATCCTGACTAATCAGTATTAAAAGTTAGGTCCTTGCTAGATTTGAGATTTTATTACTTTTGAAGATTAACATACTATTCATAAGAGCTACTTAGGCTACGCCTGTTGCAACGCTCGGGATGTTATTTTTGTAAATTCACACGCTGAAGTACAGCCCACATGCAACTCAAAACAGTGACTCCAACTCGGAGTTAGTACTTTCACAGCTCAGCTTTGAGGATAAGAAAGTGCTACTGGGGGCCCTCCCCCAGCTCTTTAAAAGGCAATATTCGGCATCATTCCAGTTTTCGGCTGGCATTAACCTTTCTTTGTTTCTTTTTTGAACTCACTAATTCTCACACTCTCAACTCAGCTAGCTCCCATAGTAGCTGGACTACATGCATTCTTGGAAAGTTTTCCTCGTCGTCATGTGCTACTGATAGCAGACTAAAATTACTCTTCATTTCACAGATAAGAGCACCAACTTTCAAGAACTGTATCTCGTTTTCAGGGTGTCCAGTTACAGCACGAGTGGGCCACGTTAGGCCAGAATGGCCTTTTCCCACACAGTTAGTTGTTTCTCTCCCCCTCTGGGTCTGTGCCTCTCAGTAATATTTGCGTGTTGCCTTGAGAACTCGGTGGGATTCTAAATCAAGCACAGAACCCCTTCCCAGGTTCACATGTCTCTCCTGCTTTTTAACATCCATCTGAAACTCCAAAGTTAAGGTCGGCCCGCCCTTCCTCCTGGGTGACTTCTAGGACAGAGGATTTACTATTTTATTGTCTCTAAGCTTGGTGCAGGATGTTCAATACCGTTTTTATAGCAATGGCTTAGGATTTCCATTTAGTATCCAATATTCTTGCTGACATGTTCAATTGCAATGATATACTATTTTCTCCCCTTAAAAAATAACCCACAAGTGTTTCAATTATTAGCACAGTTGTGAAGATGGCACGAGGGCTGCAGCAGACGGCAGTAAGACAAAATTACAACATATTCCCTATTTCAAAGCCAGATTTCTGTTTCATACAGACTCCTCTAAAGACTTCATTTGTGGGTGAGCTGGAAAGGGGAGGCCCCGTGGTGCCCTACCTGGGTAAGGACGCGTACTGTCTCTCCAGCCCCTCCGAGTGAAAGTTGTGCGCATTCCCGTCTGGACCCTTTCCAGACACCTGTGGAGAGAAGAGTAATTAGAGATGAAGAGCCATTATACACCCCGGTTACTGACAATGCAGCTCAAAATGATAATCAGTGCACAAATGCTGCTGCTGCCTGCCAAAAATCAACCATGGGAAAGCGAGCGAGAACCCAGCCTCGCTATAGGAACTGCCGATCGCGTCGCAAACACGGCATTTAACAACAAAGTCGCTTCTTTCAAATACTGATCGTTGTTAAACTAACTCTTTTTGTGTCCCCATGCCAGGGGTGTTCTGCAGGTTGTAAGACCATTTTCTTTTTCTTTGCAAATAGGTTTTAGTTTTTAGAAAAGTTTTAAATGTGCAGAAAAACGGACAGATAATGTAGAGTTCTCATTTACCCCATGGCCGGTTTCTCTATTATTATGACTATCTTACACTAGGATGGTACAGTTCTTACAATTAATACATCAACATAACATGTTATTGTTAACTAAAGTCCACAGTTCGTGTTTTTACCTGATGTCTTCCTGTTCCCAGGATCCCACCCAGGATACCACATTACATTTAGTCAGCACAGGCTTCTTTCAGCTCTGGGAAGGACCATATTTTTAAAATCATCTTTTCCATGATGCCTTTTTTAAACTACCAAGGGTTGGTGATGGCCTGCTATCTAGTCTGCGGTGCCCAGGAAACCCTCCCTGAGCACTGTGAACCTCGCCCGAGTTCTCCCCCTAGGGACGACCACATGGGAGGGATCGACGGTTTTCTGCCTTGTGCTGGTCTTTGTTTTGTCCCTTCCTGTGCAGTTCCTGTGTTCACATCTCTTGGAGTCTTTTCCATCAGCCTCTGAGACCCTGCAGGGCAGTGACTGGCCCCCACAGGCTCCCTATGAATTGTATTTGTCTCTTGAAAGGAAAGCATTTACATCTCATCCCTCTGTATCTATCATGCCGGCTAAAACAAGATGAACATGCGACAGATATTTAAAAGTACTTGTGTGAGTGATTCCTCACCTGTTCACACCAACGTCCCTGGTATCACACATGACCCACGTGCTTGCTTTCAACCTGGTGGAACCCTCCCGCCACGGGCATAGAAGGAGTAAATAGAAAACTTGGAATATTATAACTGGGTCAAGAGGAAGGGTATTTGCTAGTAAACACAGAAAGTAGCAGTGTCAAGGTCAGAAGGGAGAGTGTTTTCTAGCAAGTACTAAACAGAAGTCAGTTTCTTTTTACAAAAAGTCCCAGCTCTCTATAAAACCACCATCCCAGCTTGCGCAAGGGATGTGTGTGTGGGCTGAGGGTGTGGGGGTAGATGGGGCAAAGCAAATATAAGAAAGACTATTCTTGGTGTTTAATTATTGCAGGGGCATCTTTCCGGTATGTCCTATAAAACCTTCTCAAACCATGAAACAGAAGAAGAGGGCAGCTGGAGTTAACTGACAGGGCAGTCGTCCAGTGAGGTACCTAGGTCACTACGAAGATTGCACACAGAAACTTCAAAGCAAGTGCCAACAGATTGGCAATTCTCATGAATACAAAAGCCTTGATTTAAACCACTAACCTTTCTACCTAAGACACAGAAGTAGTGACGGACAGAATATCTTCAACCACTCCTGAATAAGGTTTGTTTTATTTTATTTTTTTTCTGATTAACATGAGCGTACAAATGATTAGGTTCCAATACTTGTGTTTGTTGGGTGAGGTCCCTGTTGAAGGTGTGCTGTGTACCCTGACTCTGTGCCCATCAGGTGGGAGCACACCAGTGGTTTGTTTTGTTCTTAAACTATTTCCTATGGAAGAAGAATTTCTGTAAATACCAGAAACTGCATTGCAGATTATTGTTAACAATTGCAGTTATTGGAAAAACACTATGTCTATACACCCCTACTATGGCTCTAGACATTTATAACTAATCTTTCTGTACCCCTACAGCGCCAAGCTGACAGCTTCAGAACTGTTACCCAGAACTGGCCTAGCCTAGCGATGAAGGCAGGCAGTATGCTGGGGCCTCCAGGAGACAGCACACGTGCCTTTTGCTGCCTGGTGAGTTACCTACTATGTCCTAGGTGCCGTCAAATGGAAGATGATCTTTATTCTTAAGGAATTTTCTGTCTTCTTAAAAAACCAGCATTAGAAATGAAAGAAGGATATAAGATGCTGGATGGAGTGCCCTTCAGGATGTTATCTGCAATAACACAGATAAGGCCTGGAGGTATTAGGAAAAGTTTCATGGAAACACCTATCGGAACTTGGGCCAGGCTCCAAAAGGAGGGCAGCATGCTTACGTGATTCTGTCCCCTGTTTAATTGTGCACACACGTGCGCTTCTCTGTTAATATTGCAACATCAGTAATGCAGTCACTCAAGTAGTGATTACTAAGCACCTACAGTGTTCTCATGCCCTGTATTCACAGCCATGAAGAAATCCAGGCCCCCTTCCGGAGAAGGCAGGCCTGCAAACAATCATGGTGCAATGAGATCTCTGCTGGTGCAGAAGTCTGCGGAAGGAGGCCGTGGGAGTCTGCAGGAACGGATGCCAAAGTCCACCTGGGAGAGGTGAAGACAGCTTCCTATGGGTGTTGAAGCTTCATCTAAAATATGAATATGAATGAGGAGTTTTTCTGGGGGACCGGGGTGCAGGAGTAGCAGGAGAAACAGAGGATATTGTTAACGAGTAACAGTACTGCTGGTGCTACTTTTATGGCTATGAGGATTATTACCATCATTGCAATTCTTTTAATAGACTATTTTTTTTTTAAAAGGAGTTTTAGGTTCACAACAGAATGAAGAGGGAGCTACATAGATTTCCTGTATGTTCGCAAAATCAGCCTCGGGTACCAGAGGGGTAGAGCTGTTACACTTGATGAACCTACCCTGATACGTCATGATCACCCAAAGCCCACAGTTGACACGAGGGCTCTTTTGTGGTGGTGTACATTTTACAAGTTTAGACAAGTGTGTAAGGACACACATTCATTGTCATAGTATTATATACAGCATTTTCACTGCCCTATAAACCTCTGTGCTCTATTTATCCCACTCCCTACACCCCCCTTCCCCTACCCCACCCAACCCTTGCTAATCACTGATCTTTTTACATTTTTTTTTTTTTGAGACAAATTCTTATTCTGTTGCCCAGGCTAGAGTGCTGTGGCATCATAGCTCACAGAAACCTCAATCTTCTGGGCTCAAAGGATCCTCCTGCCTCAGCCTCCTGAGTAGCTGAGACTATAGCTGCCTGCCATAACACCTGGCTAATTTTTCTAGTTTTAGTACGGATGGGTTTCACTCTTGCTCAGGCTGGTGGGGAACTTTGGAGCTCAAGGGAACCTCCTACCTCAGCTTCCCAGAGTGCTAGGATTATAGGTGTGAGTCATTTTGCCCGGCCCTTTTTACTATTATCTTCACTTCCAGAATATCACATGGTGGGAATCATATAAAATGTAGCCTTTCTGATTGCTTTTTTTTGCTTTAATACACAATTAATTTTCCATCATGCTTTTTCATAGCTTGGTGCCTCATTTTTTTCTATGGCTGAATAATATTCCAGTTTCTGGATGTACCACAGTTTATTTATTCATTCACCTATTAAAGGACATCTTGGTTGTCTCCATGTTTTGGCATTTATTCAGAAAAAAATGCTGTTGTAAACATTAAACAATGATGGTACAATGAGGTCACTGCAAGTGTGGAATTAACTCCTCTGGAGAAATAACCGGGGCGCGTGATTGCTGGATCATACAGTAAGACTATGCTTTGTTTTGTAAGAAACTGCCCAACTATTTCCCAAAGTGGCTGTACTATGTTAATTCTCACCAGCCATGAATGAGAGTTCCTGTTGCTCCACATCCTTTTCAGCATTTGAGGGTGTCCGTCTTCCCAATTTTGGCTATTCTAGTAGGTGTGAGGTGGTGTCTCACTGCCGTTTTAGTTTGCATTTTTCCCTGATAATGTAGGATATACATCTTCTTTGGTGAAGGATTTATTAAGGTCTTTGGACCAATTTTAAATCAGGTTGTTTGTATTCTTTTTGTTGAGTTTTAAGAGTTCTTTGTATATTTGGTATAATAGTCCTTTATCAAATGTATCTTTTGCAAACTTTTTCTCTCTGTCTATAGTATGTGTCCTCATTCTCTTGATAGTTTCTTTTGCACAGCCGAATTTTTTTATTTCAGTGAAGTACAGCTTATTAATTCCTTCTTTTGTGGATCATGCCTTTGGCTTTATCTCTAAAAAGTCATTACCAAGCCCTAGTTCATCTAGATTTTCTCACAGGTTATCTTCCAGGAGTTTTACAGTTTTTAAGACTATTATTACCACACTGGGGAAGTTGCAGTAAAGGTCGGAGCCAGAAATGGTAAGGGGCTAAACTAGGGGTTCTCAAAGATGGAGACAAGAGAGTGCTACAGGGCTGTTAAGAAGGAAGGATCAACAGGCTTGACTTTGGATAAAAGGGAAGGATGTGTTTAGAATAATGTCCAAGCTTCTGAGCTTAGCAACTAGATGAACTTGGTAACAGTGGCCAAGAAGGAAATAAAGGAAAAACATATTTAGGAGTCAGTGTGGGAGAAGAAAATACAGGGTCTGACAATTAAGTTTGTGAACTCATCTTAGAAAAAATGCTACATACCTCATTGCTAAATATCACTCTAGTCACTATCCAAGCTTCCCCTTGGGGGACTTCCCACCCCTGATGTACTCAACCTTCAACTCTTTTTCTGGAATGTCCATCAGAGTTGTCATCGTAGGAGACCTGACAATTAAGTTTGTGAACTTACCACTGTGTGCTTATGATGACAGCACTGTACAAACAACTCAGGAAGGTTTCATAACCTCGGTACATCAGTGTCTCACAGTTGTGTTTGTCTCAACATTTGTCAATGTCTTGCTGAATGGCAGTCATTATTGCTGTGTGTTTTTATGTGCTGTAGGATGACAGCTCCGATGGTCATTCCAAAAAAACAATTCCAAAATTGCTTTGAAGGGTAGACTAGGTTCTGGCATTGGTGCATAGCTTCCCAGGAGGAGT